AAATTTCCTTTTTATTTATACTAATACTGTTTTTGTTCTAAAAAAAATTATTTTCTCCATTTCAAAATAATTATTATTAGACAAATTGCACACAATTTAAGAAACACTTAAATAGAGTAGTTAAATTACTAGAATATTCCTAACCAAAAAGTGCGTTGCAATAAAAAAACGACACATATTTTAAACTTTTTTTTATTTTGCTAAAACAATAGTACTACTACTTATTTTGGAATAGAGGAAGTCCTTCACATTAAAATTTGAGATTTGTATTACGACTGTACAAATCTTAAAATTTACTCCATGTTCAGAAATCAAAGTGAACTTTTTTTGGAGGAGGGAGTAATATTTATTAACACCGCCCGGTCAATAGCTCAATGCCCCATGTTCGTAATTCCAGTTCATCTTTACCTTGTTGTGCGATCTCCTAATGGAAATCAGTCTCTGCATTAAAAGTTTTTTTTTTTTTTTTTTCAGTCAACACACACATAATAAAAGAAATGCAATGGAACTGTATCACGTACTAGTATCATTTATTAACCAATTTCTAATTTCGAGAGTTTAGTGTAAGATTATTTTGGACTTATACACTAAATATATAATTGTATATTATAGACTATCATAAAATATAGCCTAATTAAAGTGATCTAAATTATATTAATTAAAGTTTTGAGCTAATTATTAATTAAGTTAAAGTTGTGGCCAGTATTGTGTAGAAACCTAAAAGACTAATGTTCTTTTCTGTGATAGGTGGAAAAGAAATCTAATTATTATATGACCGATTGTAGTTCTGGATGAGTCTTTATTCGTACGGTTAAATAAATCATCTGAAAGATCAAACTAAATCTGAAAGATTATTCATTCGCAATGAATTCAGGTACGCTTTTACATTAGTTTAGTTTTTATTATTTGATTTGGAGTGTTAGGCTAAAGGATTTAATCCAATAAAGGGTATCAGAGCCATCTCCAAATCAAATTATTGGGAAATACGGATCTAAATACTTCGATTAAGTTGTTTTACATTTGCTAGTTTTTAGAAAACAAATTGATAGCCTCTACGGTTCGGAATTTTGTACGAACTTTGGTTTTTTCTTTTGGATTTTTGGTTATCATTTTGGTTTCGTAAGCCGCGGTTGTTTTTTGTCTTTTGGTTGATTAAAATTTGATGACAATCATGATATGGGTTTGAGTTGCGTCACTTTATATTATTTCGAAAGAATGGATTCAGATTTGGATGATGCTTGTTTTTGTAAATGCGCAAGTTTTTTTCTTTATTATTAACATAAATTGATTCATGTGGTTCGGTTTCATCAACACCACCATTAAAACCTTTCGCATATCTGGTTCGAATATAGTTTGCTCCAGAAACAAAAGATCATTAAGTTTTTTTATAAATTTTATGTTTGTTTCGTTTTTTTAATGTGTGTTTTTATGTGTTTTTTTATTGAGAAGGTAAAAAAGAGTATTGAAAATATAAAAAGATATGTTGTAATGAGATAGTTAATATTTTATTATTATGAAAAAACTATCCAAAAAATAAAACAAACAAAGCTTAATTCTGTGATGGCTGCTTTCGATTTTGGTTTCACGATTTTTTGTTTGCTTTGGTTTGGTCTAAATCGGTTTATTGATAATGATTTATAGAAAATTTTGGGGCTGAATTTGTTCGTCATTGTTGATTAATCAATTGTGCAATGACTTTCGGCTGAGTCAATTTTTGGTGGAATAGTTTTTAGTTTTATTATGTTAAAATCCAGAATTAGTGCTTCGGTTTTGAAAGCCAAAAGAATCCTGGGGCAATGCTTTACATTATTATTCTGATTAAGAAATTAAAGTTTGAACCAAAGTATTAATCCTAAGGATTACGTGGCTATCAATTTTCATGATGCATCTTACTTAGATGGAAAGAATATTCAGGTTTTGCCCTAAATATTTTGGATAAAGGTTTAATGTGATATAAACTCAAATTTGATTGATCGATACAATATGTCGCCAAAGTGACCTTTTTGTGTTGATTAGTTAATTCAAAATACAAAGATGATAATTCTATGTGTTTTGATTATATGCGAGTAATGATCAGCCCAAAGGAAAGTCATTATTTGGCCGAAATTAAAATATACTTTTAGTAATAAATATGTGACAATTATTATATTTTTTCATGTGAATGGTAAGTCGGTCTAAAGAAAGACTTATTATTTGACAGGAATAGATTGTCAATATTTGATTACTACGCCAAAAGTACCACTTGCAAATTGATGTTTTTGTCCAAAGACAAAACTCAATGTTGCGCTAGATATTTTGTAAATGGGGAATACCAATTTAAATTTATTAATTATGTTATATTAAATTTATAACGTGAGCTTGGATTTGGTCATTTTAAGGTACAATTGATTCCTCTAAATTGTAATATCTGCTTCAAATAACTTCATTAGAATTTAAGAACTATAGGGAAACATTTAATTCGGAAACATTAAGGAGCACTATAAAATAATACAAACTTGTTCCCATTATAAAGTATTTTATATAAAAAAATAAGGTGGAAACGAGTATTTTTTCAGGATAACTTGTTTCCATAAGGTATAAGGATTATTTTTTTTTAGTCATAAAAATGGCGTTGGCTATATAGGACTTTCTCTTCGGTATAATTGAAAGACTCGTTTAAGACTCTAATGGCAATTATGATACTTTTTTTTTTTAGATTTCATTAGATAGATATAAAGAAGGTATTTCTTAATGGTGATATTTTGACACAATCTATTTAGTGCAATCATAAAACTTTGTTTGATGGTTTTGCAAATTAAAGAAATCCGTCTATGAAATTAAATATGTTTCCCGTTAATGTTTCTTAAGTTTATTTAAGTTTTCATCTCACTTGGTTCTGAGGTGAATATTGTGACGATTATGCACATTAAAGTTTTAGTGGGGGTTTAAGGCAGATAATTTTTTTTAAAAAAATTCTTATTTAGATATTTAGAAGCAGCCAAAAGGTTACACAGAATCATTAAGACATTAAAAATTACACGCTCATCTATTGGAGTTCGGTCTAGTTAGAGATCATTTAGTATTCTGACTTCGATTTTGTTTAGTTGCCCATATAATTTAACTTTAGCAAACTGTATTCATTTGCTTGTGGGAGAAGCGATTTTGGAAATGTGTTACCAAACAGTTATAGCTAATTCGACATAGCAGTTAGATACATAGTTTGTTGAGGCAACTAATTATGAGTTAAGGTTGCAAATTTTGTTACAAGGACGCGAATTTGATATGGTGTTAACAACATTATAAATTAAGTTGTTAATTGTTAGATATAAGTTCAGAACGATAAGATTTCTAAAGAACACATGCGGACAAACTTCAATATCGCAGATTACTTCACTTAAGGTCATTATTGAGTATTTTGCTCAAATGAGTGTTGTGTTATATGATGATATGTCGGTTTAGTAGGAGTTTGTAATTTTGGTTTTACTAAGGGTTCATACATTTATGAACATTTAGATATTAATACTACAGTATAAAGTTTAAAGCATAAAGTGTAAGTAAAGTCTAAGGTATAAGGTTTAAAGTTTTCATTGTGCTTACATTCTGAAAATTAGGTCGATCTCACTAAAGTATAAAGAGGACCAGTTGGAAATAGGCATGTTACAGATCACACTACATGTAATTTCCATGCTACACATCGATACTTGATCCACTGATGGGTTTAGTTATCATTCGTGCAACGACTGCCCCTTTGATCCTACGTAATATAATTAATGGACGGGATTGTTTAAGTTTATTTATGGCAGCAAATTTTGGACGCTCTTAAATTTATGGTGTAATATACAATTATAAGAAATATGTTTGGTGTATAGTCCAAGTGGGAGATTGTAAGATTATTTTGGACTTATACACTAAACATATAATTGTATATTATAGACTATCATAAAATACAGTCCAATTAAAGTGATCTAAATTATATTAATTAAAATTTTGAGTTAATTATTAATTAAGTTAAAGTTGTGGCCAGCATTGTGTAGAAACATAAAAGACCAGAGTTATTTTCTGTGATGGGTGGAAGTTGTGGTCCCTGGGTGAGTCTTTACACTGTTAAAAAAATCGTCTCCCCATTTGTCAGTTAAAAAAGAACGTTCTTCGTACGGTTAAAGAAATCATCTGGAAGATCAAACCAAATATGAAAGATTGTTTATCCGCAATGGATTCAGGTACGCTTCCGCATTAATTTAGTTCTCATTATTTGATCTGAAGTGTTAGGCTAAAGGATTTAATCCAACCTTTAGCTCGCTCGCCAACCTTATAGGGTCATGCCATCCAGTTTGCTTCTCTCTCTCTAATATACTCCCTCCCTCTCACAAAAATAGTCTAGTTTAATAAAAAAATGTCCCAAAAAAATAATCCAGTTTCACAAAAGTAAAAAATAATTGAATTGAAATGACTTAAATATCCAAAAGAGTAGTGGTAATGAAAACAAGGTCACTTTCTTTAATTTTTATTTTTTTTAGTTTTCTCCCATTTTTTCAAATGATTATATCTTTTAATACTTGAATAATTAAAAAATGTGTTATGTATCAAATTAATCTACGTAACGAGATCTTTCCATCAAGATTTGTCAATATTTTTTGAGATAAAAATTTTGATCAAATTTAAGTTGTAAAATAAATGCATATGTAGGTAACTTTTGTAGAAATAACTAGAATGAGTATTAGTGGAAGTTAGGGGTATAAAATGAATTGTACATTTGGTATGTTGACCAAATTAAAAAAGTTGTACATTTTCAAACTGCACTATTTTTTCTGGGACGGAGGGAGTATATATATATAAACCCTAGCTAGGGAGGGGAGACCCCCAACAAATCAGTTTTGGGGGTACATCAAGTTAATTGAATCCAATTTACCAAAATTATTGATTCCTTGCCTCTCTCTATCCATCTCTTTCTCTTATATCATTTGTGGATATTATATATCAACAGTTGATTAAAATTAGCTAAAGGCACGAGGGGGTTTGAGATGAATTCATCAAACAAGTCCTCAAACAAAATCACAGAAATAGTTAGGCTCCAACAAATCCTCAAGAAATGGAAGAAGCTGGCAATCAAAGGTCATGCAAAGAATACAACAACCAGAAGAAGCATTCTTGGAAGCAGCAGCAGCAGCACTGTGGCAGCTGGTAGCCCACCATCGGCTACACCAGCACCATCATCATCTTCAAACATTAGTAAGACTAGCAAGTTCTTGAAGAAAACACTGTCATTCTCAGAAACTTCATCATCATCAACATCCTCAGATAATGTGAGGATGGTGGTCCCAAAAGGGTATCTAGCGGTGTGCGTAGGGAAAGAAGAGCTCAAGAGATTTGTGATCCCAATGGAGTATTTGGGTCACCAGGCATTCGCACTTCTTCTCAGGGAAGCCGAGGAAGAGTTCGGTTTCCAACAGGAAGGGGTTCTCCAGCTTCCCTGCGAAGTCCCTGTGTTTGAGAACATACTCAAGATGATGGATTCCTCACCACCATCATCCTCATCATCGTCAGGACGCAAGCACAAGAACGCCAACGATCCATTTGGATTCCGCTTCCACGATTACACAGCAACAACAGCAGCTGCGGCCGGTGGATCATATTGTTGCTCGACACCACCACCATTACCGCCACAGCTGCCCCTACCAGAATGTAAACAACCACCACCTCAGATGTGCAGATAGGGTTGATTCGTTCATTACTATATCCATCCATACATCAAAATCCCCCCAATCCCTTTTTGTTTTTCTTTAATGCACCACATCATGTATTACTAGATCATCAGCAGCAGCAGCAGCAGCCTCCTCAGATCGATGTGCTGATTTTACTAGCTAGCTTTGCATCTTCATTAATCATCATTTATACGGAATTCGTTCGTCATTTACATTTCTTTCTTCTTTTTTCAAGACTTGTTTCTAGTAAACTTGTATACGTACTCTATACATATACTTCACACTTTCTTTAGTGTCGGGGCTCTATTTAATTGGTCATCCTTGTCTAATAAATCCCCTACGTCGCATTTATATTTACTTCATTTGTTGCTTAGTTAATTTCATTATGATCACTGTCATTCACGGAATTGGGCCATTGGTTCCAGCGAACAAAACATGTAATAAATGCTAGCGGCAGTGTCTTCGTCACGAAAAGCATTACATGTAAATATGGAAAACTTATAGTCAAATAAGAGAGACTAATAATATTCCGGAAAATGAAAGGTTAAAAGATAAAAATCAGATTGAGTTTATGAAGAAAAATTAAGGAAAATCTGGGTGAGGGAGGGCTACTCTCTTTTATTGTTTGTTCTCCTCCTCTATTATATATGTTGTGGACTTTATTACCAAGGCAAGGTTTTATTAAGCAGCAGATGCACATTATCTGGACTGGAGTATTATTTCTGAGTGTTTTTTCTTTTCATAATTAATTTTCATATATGTCTAGGAATCGAGGGAGAGTACATATGTATGTACTACTAGGGAATAGGGAATTCATTAGGCCGGTGGTGGCTGTCAGGTGGATTTAACCACCGTGATAAAATATAAGGAAGTTGACCCTTGACCCACATGATGCCCGTTTTATTCGTTAAAAGCACATTGTGATCTGTTTCTCCCGTCTGCTCTGGTGCTGTGTCTCTCTCTCTCTCTGTACTTACTGTTCCTCTTTCATCATCATTTTAGCGGCACATGACAAACAACAAGAATGATCAAACTACAGACACACTACAACAAGTACGTACGCATCCACCCACTTAGTTGACTTATCCTTTTCCCCCTTTTTCATACACTATTATACTATTAGTAGTATTCATACTAGTACTATATTCCAAGGCTCCATGTGACGACAATGTGCTGCTTTTTGGGTTCTGATTTTGAGAAATCAGAGTTACCAGACCAACCACACTAAAATTGATTTCAGCTTATTCTTTTTTGCAATCATTCATTGCCCTTTTTGTTGCATGTTAGCCCAAATCAATTAACTCACTTTTGAGAATTATCCAATCATTCCCATCAAATTACTAGTGCTCTCTGGCTAATCATTTGCCCCTAACATCCCTTCCAGCTCATGTCTCAAGTACAATGGTAGTCGTACCTACGTACTAACAAATCAACAATACGGTAAATCTTACATAATTCATATTACCACTAGCGTAGCACCATACTCATCAGACTCCAGCGCCAAGGGTGCAGACGACCAGATGAAACCCACACCAGTAGCTGAGCATGCCCATCATCCATCATTCATACAAATCCCACACCACATCTTCATGTGGGTACCTCCTTTTCTTTCTTCTGCTAAACAGCACCAAGCAGACCGTGATGTTAGTACCAGATTAACCTACCTTAACTGCTTACTCATCCAACTTTTAATGTCTACAAATTCTCATCACTACTATAAACCCCAACACCCACAATTTTTTAATCACAGAATATTGACCGTAGCTGCTGGCCATTCTACTTCAGAAACAGCAAATTCTATCCAATCAGTCAAAAAACCAAAAACTATATAAAGAGAGATCAATACCTATAGATGAATCTATGTCAAGAGTCCCCTGTGTCCCATCATTTCGAGTATTTGTCCACAAGTGCCCTCGCTTTATCAGGAGCATAGAACCTAGCCTGGCCAAATCAAAATCATGCTTCCCATCACATTACATCTTCAACAAACATACTTATGGATAACATAACTCACTAGCAACATTTGGATTCACGACCCCAGTCTTTTCCCCAGCATTAACCAACTACCATAATTTTCAGATCCTCCCATGATTGTGCTCACAATCATTATATGTATCTAAGCTTTTGTTTCACAAAACGCAGGGTGTCATGTATTCATCTAAACAGAGTGAATCTCAAAATAAGGATGTCAGTTTTCATACTTGTATAAACATCCTTTCTGCGCCACCAATGTTGCCATTTTCCTTTAAAATAATTCCCTGCAAGATATTTCAAACCAAAACTTTACTATGAAGTAAAAGAGCATGAAGTAAAAGGGAACAAATCTATCAAAGATCACATATGAAAAGACGGTAAACACCTTCGCCAAGTAAGCTCTAAAGTCATTGGGATAGTGGGAGATAAGTTGGTCATAAATGGCTATAGCATCACTGACATGCCCCCAATCTGAATAGGCCTTTCCGAGAAGCAAGTCCACCTACACACAGAAGATGTAAGTTAAGATACCAAACAATTACAAGCAACAGGAGCATACAAGACAAGTTATCCAAAGATTGCGAAGACAGCTACAAGATGGTTAAGAAGAATAGTTGGGGTGAAACATAAAAGCCTAGCACTATAGGCATTAATTCTGCTATGTTCATTCACCCGAACACACTGTACAATCAACTGGATCTTGCAGATGAAACAAACTTACTTGAACGGGATCCACTTGGGAGCTTTCACCATTTGGGCTGCGCTCTGAGTTATTCTCACTAAGAACAGGTTTGTCTCCATCTTGCTGCTCACGGACTGACAAAAGCACTTGAACAGCCTGCATGATAGCCCAAATGAAAATGAAAGTTGAATAGTGTCAACATCAGAGACCAGGAAAGTTTTACTTTTTATGTCCCTAAACTCTATTTTTAAGTTTTTAAAAGGAAAGGGGGGGAAAAAACCAAAAAATCTCACTTGAAAATGAATAAAAACATAGATGAGAAGATTTCATGTAGAACATAAGCAACTCAATCCTATACCGACCTCAGCAGGCTTCTTGGCAGCAAGCAAAGCATTGGTGATACCACTTAGAACTTCAAAATCCAGTGATTTCGACACCTGCAACAACCTTTTTAGATCTTTCTGGGATTTACTTGAAGCATGTGCATTAAAAGATGTTAACATGACAAACAGATTTTCTGCATAACTTATATTCACGACTTAATTATATTACCTTACCTATTTTGATTCACTGAGAGAAAATTTCTTTACAAGAAAGAGAAAAGGAATCAATAATCGCAGTTAAAAATGAAATTGTACAATGCCAAGCATTTGGGGCACATGTAGTGTCGTTTTCATGCAACGTCACTAACCATCATAGCAGTTCTATAAGCTGCAGCACTTCCATCAAAATCCTTGAGCTCGTATTTCACTTCCCCAAGCAAACGAAAAACATCAGGATCAGTAGGTTTCTTCTGAAGTGCACAACCCGTTGAATTCATATTAAGAGCCAAAGGTATCGGGAATATTCAAGAAATTATTATTTAAAAAAAAGAAGATTGAGAATACTCAAGCAAATTTGACGCCATGCTGACAAAAACAAACCTTGATCAAATCCTCGAGCCGTGAGGCTGCTCGACCATACTCTCCTAGTTCAGCTAATGTGACTGCAGTTCCCTAAACAGAGGTAAAGACATTTTAACCTAGGCATGTCTAAAGAACAAACAAGCCATTTGAAATTTTCAGAAGATAACCACGCTCAAGCCATTTGAAATATCAACACTTGCCTCAAGTGCTTCGGTATCTTCAGTAGAAATGCTCAGTGTCTGCTCAAATTGCTGGAGTCTCTTCTGCAAAAGATTTCATGGTTTGTTAACTCCATAAATGCACCAAAAGATTCAGGGGAAAAAAAGTTGCAGAAAACAGATGGGGTAAAATGTGAGGAAATCATGTGCGATGGACATTGTACTGAACATTCATGCAAAATACAAAAGAATGCGATAGAATTCAACAGAAAATCAATGGCCCCTCAAGCATCATTGGGTTGATTTCAAATTAAAATATATAAATAAAAGGCCAACAAGAACCAGTGAAAGATTTGAAAGGTTGACCAAATGCTTCATAAGATTCACAGGAAGTAAGAAAAAGAAGTGTTTTTTTTATGAACCCCTAATTCATGCCACACGAAAATCTTAGGGGATGTCCAATAATTTACCTGCAGTCTTTCTCTCTCTTCAGATGAAATTTTACTACCAGCCGGGGCAGCCTCTTCAGTGGGACTATCACTAAGCCAATAAGAAATCAAGCCCAAAAGGAAAAGAGCAAATTGCATTACTAGCATTGTTAGCAAGAGAATAACAAATGACCGAAAAGAATCAACGCACAACATGCGCAGAAGTTTTGACGCCCATGTTAATTTAGATTCTTGTAGAGAAACGGATAACTGTCAATTAAAAAAAAAAAACTGACAACTAGCAATTTAGATTCTAGACCGTTGATCATGATGTTATAGGGGTTGCTAACCTCAAACTGTAATCATCTAGTCTTTTAGGCTTTAGGCCCCTCTTCTTGTATCCAAAAAAGAAAAAATGAAATGTGAGAGTTAGTGGAACACACCTATCAGTAGGGAGAAAGTCGCCAAAAGCAAAAACAAGTCCAAAGATCACAGCGGCAACAGCAACACCAATCTATCAAGGCAAAATTCAAAAAAAAAATGTGTCAGTGCACAAGTGAGAATCAATGTCCACGTTGTCATCATATCAGACACTTTACACGCAGACAGAGTATTACCTTAGTAGCAAGTCCTTGTTTGCCACTTTCTGGCTCAATTGGAGCATCATAATCGATGGCACCATATAGTTTCTCTTCTTCTGCTTTCTTCTGCTCAACCGCCGACCTAAAATAGTGAGATTTTTATTTTTCAAAAGTAAGTTATAAAGGAGTAGATCTGAAGAAGAATGGTGACAAGTAGGGAAGAGGCAGAACTTTTTAACTGCACGTAGACGTTCCTCGAATTGACTGTCAGCGGGAATGGTGGTTGGTCTTCCATCAAGTTTGGAACTCAATTCAGGTGCCTCTAGCAAGGAACGGCATGAGCATTGCAATTCAAGCAACCAGCAGCAAAATCCATAACTAGAGAGAGAGAGAGAGAGAGAGAGAGAGAGGATAAAGCATATACTCACGGTCAGGGACATTACTGGAACGATTAGAAGGCAGTTTCCTCCTGCATTCAACAAGGTCAATCAACACAATCATGTACTATATAAAATGTCAGAATTGTGCCTAAAACAGTTACCAAAACCATCTCAGTTTAAGAAAAACAAGTACCTCGCCAAAGAAATCTTGGAATCGTCAGTTCTGGAATTGGCGGGTTTCTGAGTCGGAGAGCAGAAATTGGATGAAAATTGATCGTTTCTGTACATATATATATATATACTATAAATGCTAAAGGCTACATTGTCACTTGTTACTAAGCTAATATAATCAGTAATCACGATTCGTATTAAACAGCAGAGGGGCAGAAATTGAATGCAATGATGTTTTGTTGGTGGTACTAAGCTCATAATTATTAAGAGAGGATGCAAACCTCACCTTATTACCGGCGCCAAAACCACGGCGTTGTCCTCCTCCTCCGGTTTCGGAACAGCAAATGGCACGTCCGGCACCACCATCACCACCACCACCACCATCACCACCGTTGCAGTAGTAGCTTCGACGACTATGCCGGGCGTAGAAGGATATAGTAATATACGACACAGAAGACACTAAAACTGAAGGCATCCCGACTCCTAAGACGGCAGGCAGCCGGAGTAGCAGGAAATGTAGTAGTCACATAAAATTTCAATAATCATCATGGATATTAAACTATAAAGTGATGATGATGATGATAAAAGATTTTTTTTTTATTATTATTTTTTTTTAAAAAAACTCATTTCTTGTTCATTGCTGTTTTCCGTTTTGGATAATGATACCAAAATAGTTTTTCAGTTTTTGGTCAGGTTAAAATGCCCAACCCTAGTATGATTCACTTTTTTGGCCCCGCGAGTTATGGCACAAAAACAAATCGAACTCTGAATTTTTATAAGTTTTAATAACACTACTACAATCATCTCCTTTGACCCTAATTTTTTTAAAAAAGAAATATTTCATTAAATATGCGAAATCAGCCTGCTCTAATTCACATAGAAAACTTGAATATTACCAACTGGGATTGACACAAGTGGTAAGCAGCTTGATGCCGCTTAAGCAAGGTTTCGGGTTCGAAACCTTGTGAATGCAAAAAACTCTTGTTAGAAGACTCACTCACCACAGTCAAGTGTGCGATTCGGGTCGACCAACAGATTAGTCGGGGGCAAAACTCCGGAAACCGTGGCAGGCAATCAAAGAAAAAAAAAAACTTAAATATAGAAGTGGCCTCACTTTTCTACACGCTCCATATTATTACTACCTCCGTCCTAAAATTATTGTGCAATTTGGATTTGTAGTTTCAGATAATTTCAGAACGGAAGGAATATTAAACATAAATTTGAATTTATAATAAGATCGGAGAACCAACAATTTGTTCCAAAATAAAATCTATTTTATCAATTTTTTTAGTATACTATTATAAGTATCTTAAGTTATTACATTTGTGAAATTAAATAAAATATACTACCATCAATAAGATTGAAACAATAGAACAAAATAAATGATCTTTTTAATCAAGTATATTAAAGCAGTTCGGAGAGATCGTTTAATTGAAAAAGATTTAAAGACATGTCATATTAATATATACCAATACAAATGCATTTTTATTTTTTTACAAAATAGTAAAATATAACTATATTTCTTAATTGGGGATTTGAATAACATATTAGTAGTTAGAATGATGTGATTCCTGATATTAGAGACTTGGGTTGAATTTTCACCAAAGGATATATATCATGCAATTAAATCGTCGCAAACGAAAGAATCAAAATACCTTTTTCACATTTAAATATTCAATTTTTCATATACATGTATACATATGTAAACATACATGTACCAAATACAACATGTACAACGGACAGCATAGGTAAAGTTTGAGAATAATATTCAATATACTTTTCAATTTTATCCTAAAATTTGTACATTTTTGTTCATTTTATCCTAAAATAATTGTACGTATACAATAATGACCGTCATTTTGGGACTAGGTCTACTTAACAACAATTATGTTTTCAAATAGTAATAAGATTTTTGAACTCGTCCTTCATTTGCAGGCAATAGGTAGCAGGCTGTTGGAATAAGGCAATGAGGAAAAAAAATAAAAAAGGAATCGAAACTAATTTGTCCCTGTTAGTCTATTACACAAGTCAGGAAAAAAGAAAAAGAATAAAAAGAGCCACCCCAAAATATCAACCATCACATTGGAAGCACCAACTCAAGGAATAAAAAAGAGTTACTACTAAAAGACTTGAAGGGAATAGGCCACTTTCAGGATATCATCCTCCCGTGTCCTCTGTCACAGAAAGACTGGAGCCATTACAAGAGTTATCGTCGAAAGCATTTTGATGAGTACATGCAGGGAAGGTCCAGCTGTATCTTTAAATGGGTCTCCCACACTACACCACCATAAAAAAATGAATATAACATTATCCGTGGAATATCACATCATGCAGTTAAATACCAACTCCAAAGCGTGAATAAATTTGAAATCACTTACGTGTCACCAGTAACTGCAGCTTTATGGCTCTCGCTTCCTTTGCCTCCAAGAGCACCGGTTTCAATGTACTTCTTTGCATTATCCCAGGCACCACCAGCAGTGTTCAGGAAAAGAGCCATCAGAATCCCAGAAACGGTAGCAAACATAAGCATGGATGCCACTACTTTTGCCCCTAAAAGAGGATGCCCCGTGTAGTGTCCCAGTATCCGGAAAACAAGACCTGTCACCAAACATAGTTGTTTCCTTATTAAAACACTCTGAAAAGAAGCCAAGCTCACCGAAGTCGTTAAATTTCATGTACCACAAAAGTATCCAACATTAGTTCACGCTACCTATAAGGATAGGCGATACAATAGCCAAGGCTCCAGGTTTGATCATCTCCCTCAAAGATGCAGATGCAACAATAGACACGCATCGGCCATAATCTGGTTTTTCTCTGTAATCCTGACACAGATCAAATAAAACTTCTAGTAAAATCTCATGTGATAAACATGCAAACACAAGTCAACCGCATCCCGTTCTTACCATTATACCCGGCCTCTCAATAAATTGTCTTCTTACTTCATTCACAACCTCTTGAGCAGTTCGGCCAACAGCCGAGCATGCCCAAGCACTGAATAAAAATATAAGCATAGAACCTAACAAGCCACCGACAAAAACCTCGGGGATCGCAATGTCAACCTGAAAGTTAGCAGACAGTTAAAGTTTGCTTTAAGCGTTATCAATGACCAATAATATGGAAGAGTTCACGTGATGAGAGCAAACCTGATTAAAAGGCTCATGAGCAAATGCAGATACCTCATCCATGTAGGCACTAAATAGAAGAAAAGATGCAAGAGCCGCAGAACCAATAGCAAAACCTTTTGTGGTAGCTTTGGTGGTGTTCCCTACAGCATCAAGAATGTCGGTAATCTCTCGAACACTTTCCGGCTGCAAAGAAGATGCAATACGCAAACATTCACGGAAAGGAACAAAAAAATGTGGGAAAGATATGGTACACATTAAAATCAACCGACCTGCTGGCTCATTTCAACAATCCCACCAGCATTATCAGCTATTGGACCAAACATATCCATTGTTAGCACATATGCTGCAGTACTAAGCATGCCCATAGTTGCCACAGCAGTTCCAAACAGACCACCAGTTGGGTTTCCAGCTTCATCCACCAGTCCAGAAGTGTGACCCAACCAGAATGCAGATATAATGGAGACACTAATGACAATGACAGGAAGAGCTGTGGATTCCAAACCCAAACTAACACCGGCAATTATATTAGTTCCATGACCTGTGGAGCTAGAAAGAGCTAGCGTACGGACAGGCTCGTGCTTGTAGTCAGTATAGAATTTAGTTATCCACACGAAAATATAGGCTGTCATAATCCCAACCAAACCACATAAAGCAAAGTTCAACCAGGCTGAGGGTGCCTGTTCGGTGTACAGCATCCAGCGAGTAGACTGCAAATACATGGATTAATAGCTTAACTTGCATCCTCAGCTCATCAATGGGGGAAAAAAATACAGCATCTAAAATTAAAAGTGAAGAAAACGATATCTAAGGCCACCAAAGGAAAGATCGAAATCATTACCAAACCAAATGTTATGACAGCAAACACTATTGTAACAGAATATCCTTTCTGAAGAATTGCCATTGGGTCCTCCATGACACTGATTACTCCAGAATCACGTTTACTACGAATGGATAATATTCCAATTGATGAAACCACCAGATCAAAGGAATGCACAACAAGTGGAAATAAAATGAATCCAGACGGGTCTGCACGTGAAGACCAAAACTTTCAATCTTTTCTCTCCCACAACACAAATTCAGGAAAATAAATAGTCAAGCATTTGACATGGATACAAATTATGCGGCAACTTAAGAAAAAGAAATTATTTAATGCACTGCAACAAGAACTTTTCAGATATTCACAAGTTCATGCCTTCAATTTTGCATTTTTGAGCCATCGCTCCTCCAAGTATCATGGCGCTTATTATTTCTGCAGCAATGCTTTCGAATAAATCAGCACCACGGGCAGCACAGTCACCAACATTATCTCCAACCTTCAAACAATTGATAAATCACAATTAGCTGCAAAGGTTTCCCAACAAGGACAAACGGAAAAATAAAGACCTCGAAGACTAGTTACCAAATCAGCAATGACAGCAGGATTACGAGGATCATCTTCAGGTATCCCCTGCTCAACTTTCCCAACAAGGTCAGCTCCAACATCAGCTGCCTTCGTGTATATGCCACCACCCAATTGAGCAAAGAGGGCAACAAATGAGGCTCCAAAACCATATCCAACAAGGAGAAGCGGTACTACAAACAATAGCAAGAAAACGAGCTGCTAGCTTAAAAAATCACGAGGAAGAACTTAAACAACTCAAAGACAAAATGAATTAAGCCATCATCATAACTCACAGTCAGTGACCTTGATTGCACCAGGTGAATCCACACCTAACCAAACATAAAATGTGGCATAAAGTACAGCAACCCCTATTACAGCCATACCAACAACCACCATGGCTGAAAAGCCACCGGCGCGAACAGCAATCTAAACACATGTAAGATCAGTTAATGACATAATTCAAGATGGCTTCGAAGCAGCATGTATACCAATACCTGCAGTGCCTCTCTCGCTGACCGCCTTGCTGCACTTGAGACTCGAACATTAGCTCGTACAGATACCCACATCCCAACATAACCAGCAATTCCGGAACAAAGAGCACCAAGAAGAAAGGAAGCCACGGTAATATATGCAGAAACAGACCTGCAGGCAGCATTTAGGAATGAAATTTTCGGTCAAACTAGCATATTTACATAAGCGCACCATAGAGTACATTGTACCTCCCCAAGCCAGAAAATTCTTGTTGAGGTGTTGTGCTGCGAAACAGATATATGCAAAGAATTATGAATGCTAGTAAGAGCGCCATCTTGGATATGGTGCCATATTGAGTCCTAAAGAATCCTTCAGCTCCATCCCGTATTGCATCTGATATCTAGAAAGTAGAATAATAAGCTTAAATGACCAGGAAGATAGAAGCGACATCAGAACCATCAACTATTCATTGTTTGCATGAAAAAAAGATAACAATACTAATAAAGATAAAGAGATCAGATACCTGGACCATCTCAGGGGGGCCTTCATCCTTGGAGAGTACCCACTTAGTAAGGTACATTGAGAAGACAAAACTGCTGATGCAAACTGATAGTACAAATACAATAATAGGTGAGGTACTAGCACCAGCATAGAAAATCCCTCCAAGACCAAGAAGTAGAAGTACGAAGAGAACACGGACATTAATTCTCATGAGAACATGAAACATCTGGACAACACAATCAGCCAACATGTTCAACAAGAGTTTGTCAGAAAAAAAATGACAGGTCATTAAACATACATATATGGACAGCTTTCATGTAGAAAAGAATCGTGCAAGCCAGCTCACCAATGGTGTGTAAGGTTTAGTACGCATGCTGGGGAATACTCTTGATGCCCTTTCTTGAAAAGGTCCCAAATTACCACTCTCCATAACATCATCCATTGCAACAGATTGGAAGGAATTCACCCTCCGGGCCACAGGAAAAGGGTTGAACTCGCCACCAGGGGGCAAGTCAGCCCCTAAACCCAATCGCTGTATGTTGAGATTTCTTCACTATGGCAATGGCGTATAAAAGAGCTCAGCATATGAAGATTAAAGCAATTGCCCGTAAATCATTTACTCTCCAAAATTTGAAGGAAGATAACACCTCAGCGAAATAGTGAAAAAGCATAAGCCAGGGACTCAGATTTGATAACCGAAAATCACACCTCCTGAAAAAGTGATCCACAAAATGTTATCACAAAATAATGCTCTTAGCTGAAAGACACACTGTTATAACAAGAGCCTGAACCTAAACCCTAAAACTAGTGCTGCACATAATGTTATCACAAAATAATGCTCGATGAGAGCCTGAACCTAAACCCTAAAACTATAATAAGTGAAATGTAAGAGTTAAACAAGGCAGCAGGTGATAAATAGATTGTTCTCCATGAATGAATGAGTAGTATTCACAAGTCTGGAAAGAGTCAACGAGTGACAGGAGCAAATGCCTCAAAATAAATCCAATTGAGCTCCAACAACTAACATCACTGGAAAGAGTAATTATCCCCAAGTAGCCACCAGAGCCCAGAAATCCCCTAAACGGATGATCTTAGCAAACCTCAAATCAGATTGATCCGATGGAGAGGATTGGGATCTCCACAAAGTCCAAAAGATTATTAACATGCACATACACAAAGCAAATACTAGAAATTAACAGTAGCAGCGGGGAAGACAGAAATAAAACCATCCTTCATTGCATCAAAATTATAAAGAAAAAAAATATCAGAGCGCAATGCAATTTAAATGTTTACCGGTAGGAATTTGCGATAAAGGCAGAGAAGAATAACCGACCAACCGGACGCCGGGGGGCTGACGGTGGGGGGGACAGGGGAGGCGGGGGAAGAGGAGAACGGGAGTTTTGATTCGGTGGGCAGTAGAGTTTGGCGTTATTCCGCCTTTTGCTCTAAATTGTTTTTTTTTTATTTTTTATTTTTGTATACTAATGCTGCAATTTATTAGTGAAAGTCAAAATATAATTGTCAGCTTATCCAATTGTTACATGCCACTTCATCATATGCTGCAATAATTACAGACCAATAGTACAATATATTTGCCTTTAAAGTTTCATTTATATTATTTTTTCAATTTTATCAATACTTAAATTAACTAAATTTTAATCTGATTAGTTCTTAAAAGAGTAAATATATTTTTAATATGGATAATACATGTAGTTTACTAAAAGAAACTAATTTAACTAATTTTTTTAATTTCTTATTTTTTTTAAACTAATTATTTACGTCACATACATCCTTATACTTAACGATTATTTAATAATTCATTAAATTAATAAATTGGTGGTCCCAACACTATAATTTTTATTTGGAAGCTTAAGTATGGAAGGTTAGAGGAATAGTTTAGATTGTAAACATATTATTTTTTGTAAACTTTTCTAGTAAGATTATGTTGTATTCAAACTTCACTATTATTGAGAGAAGAAATTCAAGTTTAACAACAATTATTTACCCAAGTTTATCAAAAGTTTGTCGTCATATTTTGTCGTGTTTGGCAATATAAGTGTCAACTTTTCATGCACCCAATTGAAAAAGATATATATATATATATATACATATATATATATATATATATACTAGTGATGTCTGGTCGCGCAATGCGCGACCCTGGCCCAATATATCTGTAGATCTTAGAAATATTTGTATCTGAAAAAAAATATATTTTGTATTTGGCCCGATATATTTTAGAAATATTTGAAGAATTTTAGAAATGTTTTATAAGTGTGATGTTTGTATTTGGTAAAAAAATAAATTATATTTGGCCCGGTACATTTTAGAAAAGTTTAAAGATTTTAGAAATATTTTATAAATGTTACTTCTTAAATATAAAGAAACTTGATCAAATATATGTCTTGAAGTAAATGCTAGACAAAATATAAAAGTATCCTAATAAGTTTAAATATTAGTAAGATAATTTATTGATGTTTTCCATTGGTTGTGCCAAATCAATACTTAGTTTTGGAAATTTATAATAGTTTTGTAGTTAGCTTCCTCCAAAGGGTATACGTTTAATTGTTAAAACTATTTCTTCCAAAAGTTTATAGGTAGTAAAATATCAAAAATATGATTTTGAAACTGGTTAATTGTTGAAACTTGTCGATCACAAATATGAGAATGAAAATAATGTAAATTTGCATAGGTTTCAAGATATAGCAAAAAAGAACTCACCTCACCATGGCAAATAAAAGAAAAAGAGTAAAAGATAGCCCATTAAAATTTCAGAATTTTTATTTTTTTATATAGGTAAAAATAATATATAAAAACACAAATAAACGTAGAAACATCATTTCTTCCCTCTCCACCTCAAATTCATGAAAGAATTCCCATAAATTAGTTAAAAGAAGCGACCTGAACTATTTATATGATGAGGAACTAAAAAAAAGTCCAAAAATCAAATCCAAAAAAGTATATTCTTGAAATTCCGAACACAAAAAAAGAAACGTACTTCATTTGCAAATAAAATAATAATAATAATAATAATAATAATAATAATAATAATAATTGGTCAACTGGGAGTATGAAACAAAATCAAAAGCAATTAAACAAAGAAAAAGCACACTTCATAATTGGCCATATACGAAAAAAAACCTGAGACTCCATAATTAAAAAAAGAAAACTACTCTAATTGAATGAAACATATAAAAAAAATTAAAAAAACTACACTTTGTAACAAAAATCCAATCAATCAATTCAATTCAAACATAACTAAAATCATACAAAAATTTTAGGCTAACTAACCAAATAAGAAATCACATCATACTACCTGACAACGGATACGGTAGCTGTAACGGATGGATGCATAAAAATAATAGTAATCACACTATTCTTGAACGGGAAAAACAAAAAATAATAAAAGCCAAACCAATGATCTGTGGAAATAAAATCATTTAAATTTTAATACCTGTAATGGCACCACCACAACGGCCCGAAGCAAGATCAATGAGAATTTTTTTTTCCCTTTGTATTTATATAGAGAGGTAAAGAGAATATTTTTTGAAATTGAAATTTTATCCGATTAAGATGTAGTTGATCATCACTAATGAAAAGATTGAACATGCTAATAGGAAAGGAGTATATTTCACCATATATTCTCAATTGATGATTGATGAGGAATTTATTTTTTTTTTAATTGTGAAGAAGGGATTGATTAAGGAGTCGATTGTCGTGGAGATGGGGATGAAGATTTGGGTTTTTTATGAACTCGTGATTTATTTTTTTTTTGACGAAAAATAAGAGGTGGAAGTGAATTTAGACTGCATTTGCTTTTTAAATTTAGGAGATGTGGTAATAAAAATTTATTTTAAAAATATGATGTGGAAATGACACATGGCAAATGATGGTGCTTTCTCTTAAGTGTGGTTTTTGTTTATATATATATATATATATATATATATATATATATATATATATATATAAAAGCAAAACCCAATTACATTTCTATTCAAAGCAAAAAGAATTTTTACCTTCTCTTTAGCGTTCCATATCGTCCTCCCCTCCAGACCCAAAAATTAAGGAAAGACACACGCACAAAAAAAAAAAGAAGAGGAAAAGAGAAAGGGAAAGAGAGAAAGGAGGGAATCACCATCAAAGGAGAAAATGAGAGAAAATGCACCAGAATCTTCCATTTGAGCGAGGAGCAAGAGAAATTAATCCCAGGAAGAAGAAAAAAAAAGGAAAAAGGAGCAGGAAGAAATTAATCAAGAAAGAGTAACCCATCGTTGGTGGTGGTGGTGGTGTTATATATACAAAATTATCTGTCATGCATGCCTGATGTATCCCCCTTTATTAAGATTATTAAATATACATTGATTTGTGAATTATAGAGTTAAGAATCTTTTGGTGTGGGCATAGCCAAATCAAGCAAAAGGCTGATGGGCACCCAGATTGGCCCACCAGCATCAAGAAGAATAGGATCGCCCCCTCCAACAACAAGTATCAAGTTGGTGTTGATTACCTTTGGGACGTTGTTCTTCTCTTTATCACATTCGTCATGGTTATCGTGGTGGTGGGGATCATCAACGACGACAACATGGTTGCATGCGTACGCCGCCCCGATTGACGTCTCCACAACAGAATCCCTCATGAGATTCAAAACCAAATTGTCATATAACGACGCCTTCGACACCTGGAATCCTTCCAAGTTCCCGTCTCCATGTTCAGGCAACTATGCGACTTGGAGAGGGGTGCTTTGCTCCGACGGCATTGTTTGGGGATTGCAATTAGAAAATATGGGCCTCACCGGTGAGATTGATGTCGATTCCCTTGTCCCTTTACATTCCCTTAGGACTATAAGTTTAACCAACAATAGTTTTCAAGGACCCATGCCGGACTGGTCTAAACTCGGTGCCCTCAAATCACTATTTTTGTCCAACAACCGTTTCTCGGGTCAGATACCTGACGATGCTTTCAAAGGAATGACTTCTTTGAAGAAAGTTTATTTAGGCAACAACAATTTTACGGGCACTATTCCCAAATCTTTGTCCACACCTAAGCTTCTGGAGTTGAGGTTGGAAAATAACCAATTCACAGGCCTAATTCCAGATTTCAGGCCAGGTCTCAAGCTATTAAATGTGTCTAACAATCAACTCGAGGGTCCCATACCTTCAGATCTAGCCAAAATGGATCCAACTTCATTTCAAGGTGCGTACGTACGTGTAAACTGATATATACCCCCATGCAATAAATATTTTTTTGACGTGACGCCTAATCTATCTATCTATATATAATTCGCCCTTAATAATTATTAATATATTGTTTTGCAAAATAAATTTTATGCATGGAAAATAAATCATTGTTATCTAGCTAGAATGTAACTAATAGAGTAGGCACACGCATGCTTTGACAGAATATAAAATTTAATTAATTACACTATACGTAAATATTGTATGATAGGTACAAATATATATTAACTAGTATCGGCTTGGCAGGGAATAAAAATGTGTGCGGACCTCCGTTGGGAACAACATGTAACAATTCTCTTCCCCCTCTACCAGACCAAGCAGCTTTACAATCTCCTCCGGACGCTAGTAATGCTAACAACGCTCCTGCAGCTGGAAAAACGATCTCTTCTCCTGCTTCATCCCACCAACGGGTTTCCAGAGATGTGATAATAGTCATATCTGGTTTGATAGCCTTGGTCATTGTCATTGTTGCAATTGCGATATATCAACGCGGCAGAAAAGATCAAACCCCAAGGCTAGGGAGAGCACAAAATTCCTCCACGGAAAAACATGGAAGCATCAGTAGTAGTAACCACTTACAAGTAGTAGGAATGGAAGCTAATACTAATAATACCAAGGCAGCTCCAATGTCGGCTGCCAACGGTAACAGTAATACTACTACTAATACTGTTGTAGCTGCCACTGGTAATCGTAAGAAAGTGAAGACTAATGAAACCAACAAGCTGTCGTTTGTACGAGATGATAGGCAACAGTTCGACTTGCAAGATCTTCTAAGAGCATCTGCCGAGGTGTTAGGGAGCGGCAACTTTGGTTCCTCATATAAGGCTGTGCTTATGGATGGTCAAGCTGTTGTGGTTAAAAGATTTAAACAAATGAACAACGTTGGCAAAGAAGATTTTCATGAACACATGAGAAGGCTTGGCAGACTCGTCCATCCTAACTTGTTGCCTCTTGTGGCTTATTACTACCGGAAAGAGGAAAAGCTCTTAGTATTTGATTACATTCAAAATGGAAGCTTGGCCAGTCATCTTCACGGTACGCATATAATAGTTTATACGCGCGTTTAATTTAATTACTTAGAACATACATATATATATTTGTTTGCTAGCATAGCTCTAGCTAGTTTATTTTATGTTTATACTCGTTTATTATTAATTCGAACGAATTCAATGACCAATCATGATCTTAATTGTTAATCAGGTAAGCATTCAGTGGACCAGCCAGCCCTTGATTGGCCAACTCGGTTGAAAATTGTCAAAGGAGTCGCAAAGGGTTTGGCTTATCTACATGCCGAGCTTCCAAGTGTAAGTTTACCTCATGGCCATTTGAAATCTTCTAATGTGGTTTTAGACGAAAACTGCCAACCCCTCTTAATGGACTATGCCCTGGTCCCTGTTGTCAACCCTCACCAAGTCCAACAATTACTTGTAGCCTATAAATCCCCAGAATATGCACAACATGGGCGAACCACTAGGAAGACTGATGTTTGGAATCTTGGCATCTTGATTTTGGAAATCCTTACCAGTAAGTTCCCAGCAAATTACATTGCTCAGGATACGGGTCCCGTCACTTCATTTTCTTCTTATGTTTCTGAACTAGCTGCCTGGATTGATCATCATGCCACCCCCGTCAAGATTGATGCTTCTAAGAGCAACAACCCAAAGGAGGACACTGTTTTTGATACGGAAATGAGGAATACAAAGAGCTCCCAAGCACAAATGATAAAACTTTTAAAGATAGGACTGGCTTGTTGTGTCGAAGATTTGGAAAAGCGGTGGGATCTGATGGATGCTATTGCAAAGATTGATGATGTCCATGAAAGGGACACTAAAGAAAGGGACCACCTGGAACCTGTTGAACTGATTTAGTTTATTTACATGTTAATTATAGTAATACATTACAAGATTGATGAATTAGTTACCACTCCACATCTATTGGTAGTTTTTCTTTATATTGAAGTAATTGTTATGGGGTCGGTAAACTCGATAAGATCACCCTATATTACGGTTTTCGAGCGATTCCAACGAGTCTATTCTAATTCCACATCAAAAGATTATTCAAACCGATCCAAAATCGATTTCCTTATCGTGCAAACTATGCTTTTATATTTTATATTTTATATTTTTTCTTTCATACACTACTTCGCATTATTAATTAATGGAAACGCACTTTTTGTCTCTATGGGGGGTCACAACTTCTTGTCACCTTTAATTTTTTACCGACAAAATTTGTCACTATTTTTTTTTATTCAATAATTTTAGTCAATTTAACGGTCACGATCAACTCTTTTCTTTGTTAAATTTTTTAATTTTTATTAATTTTTTATTGAATTGGAACCTGCAATGTATTTTCAAATAACAAAATCAGTCCCTAATTTTTTTTCAACAATTTTAGTCACTTTAACAGAATTTTTAAAAACTTAATGACCAAATTTAATTTTTCTTTAAGTCTTTATTTTTTTATTACTTAATGGATTGTGGGTCACACGAAACTTTTCTTTAATTTTTTTTAAAAAACAAATTAAAGGAATAATTAAAATATTTCCGGCTAATTTCCTAAAACCCAAATATTCGTTTGAAAATAATACAACAAAAATAGAGAAAGTATTTTAACACAACCAAAAAAAAAGGAAAAAAAAGAATTATTAAACAATCAAATTAAAAAAAAAAATCCGGAAAACCGAACAACTAATTGCATGGTTCCATGAGCAGAGTGCTTCATGCCTGCTCAAGAGCCAGAATGCACCATTAAGGCAGTAATATTTGGGCAGGTATCAAAACCGCCACATTCGTTTCATTAAGAATGTAACATAAATATCAATCAAAATATCTATAGTATATATTATACTAAGAGAGAAACCAGAGAGAGAAAACAAAAAAAAATTCTAAAGGTGTCACATAGGATAAAATTCTATGTGTCATTTTTCTAATGGTTGAGTCAAAAAATATTTACAATAATTATACTAATAGTCCTTCAAATTTTATGTAAATAAAGTTTTATTCAATGGTATTTAAAACTGTAGTTTAAAATAGGAAAATAAAAATTAATTAAATTTAATGGACGGGATTAATGAACATTAATGCACCAGAATTATTCTCTCCCCAAAAGAATACCCAAAGTTACTACTGGACTCATTTAATTAATCTTTAAAAAAAAAATCTCCCTCCCAATCATGTAAATCAATAGACTACAATTCAAAAAAAAACAAAAAAAAAACAATCATTCAACATTCATATTATCTTTAAAATCTTCTCCAAAAAACATGACCATGTATTTTTCGCCAATAAAAAAGAAAAAAAAAAGGTACAAAACTTGCCTTCAATCTATAGTATTATACTAAGAGAGAAATCAAAGAGAGAAAACAAAAAAGAATTCTAAAGGTACCACATAGGATAAAATCCTGTGTGTCATTTTTCTAATGGTTGAGTCAAAAATATTTACAACAATTATACTAATAGTCTTCCAAATTTTATGTAAATAAAGTTTTATCAAATGGTATTTAAAACGATAATTTAAAATAAAAAAATAAAAAATAATTAAATTTAATGGTCAGAATTAATGAACATTAATGCACCAGAATTATTCCCTCCCTAAAAGAATCCCCAAAGTTACTACTGGACCCATTTAATTCAATAGACTACAATTCAAAAAAAAAAAATTCATTCAACATTAATGTTATCTTTAAAATCTTCTCCTAAAAACATGACCCTGTATTTTTCACCAATAAAAAGAAAAAAATGTACAAAACTTGCTTTCAATTATTACTAAAAGGATGAGATTTAACTATAATTAAATGTTATCTTTTGAATTTCAAACCAATGCATTTATTTGTGTAATATCATATTTACCCAAATAAATATAATCTTTTCTTAATAATATCTCAAAAGTTGTTATAAACTTTATCTTTATCACTGAAATTTTGGATAATCAATTATCATCAATCCCAATTTATCTCTATTTATTTCCACTTTTGGATAGTAAAATATACTCCAAAACACCTACATTACTGATGGATTATAAATAAAAATAGTAAAATTCATTTTACACTTTTTATATTTTTTTTTGTAGATTTTTTATAATGTGCGCGGGTTTAACATCTAGTTAATAATTATAGAAACCCAACTTAAAAAATATTATTTTTAAATAATGCAAGATTATTGCATTCCATTTAAGGCTTGAGAAAGTTTTTGATGTGTTTCAATACCTTATCAATGATCGAATAAAACTGTCAAGAAACAAAAAGCAATACATTTTAATTTGGGCGAAGTACAATTTACTCCTATCTATCATAAACCGTCTGAATTTTAGTAATATTACAATATACCCCATTGACTCATAGTCAACTTACCAATACCCCCTTAACATATTAACATCATCATGAATTTTTGTAAACGGTCAAAAATACTCTTCAATTCATATTTTTTTAATTATATTATAATCTTTGTAAAAATATATATCATAAAATAAGTTAAAAGATATACTTCATATTAATCATTTTATATTAATGCACTTAGATAATAATTTTTTTAAACTAACTATGTTATGTCTTTTTGAAATAAAAACTCCATTAATTAGTTATTTTTTGAAATATAATAAACTTACATTATTAATCATAGATTAACTTCATTCGTTAACTTATGTCATAATTAAATATAAAAATTATAAATTAAGTAATTTCATTTTTTAAGAAAAAAATAAAAAAAAGTGGAAAAAATAAAGTGTATGTAAAGAATAAGTTACTTTAGTCATTTAATGTTTAACCCCTGTCTAAAGGGTATATGGCAATATTATCAAAACTTAGAGGGGTTATGATAGATGGAGCTAAAACTTAGAGGGCAAAATATAGTTCGCCCTTTAAATTTTAAATCATTAAAATACCATCTAAGCAATTATGTATTGGAAATTTTATAATCTAACAAATTTTAGAAGAAAAACAGAGGGCTTGTCCAAACAAGTTTTGTTTTATCTTTTTGTCTCATTTTACCTCTTAAAATATCTCTCAAACACAACCCAATATTATCCTAACAACCTTTTAATTTACTTTTTAAAATTTATTTTAAATATTATTTTTACACAATTTTCATCCACAATCATCGGACCACCTCCATCCCCACCGGGCCGCCCACCGCCGCCGCCGGACTGCTGCGGGCCGGCAACCGGCGACAGCGCCGATGATGGAGGTGGTCCGGTGGTGGTCTAAAAATATTATTATTTTATTTGAAATAGTACCCAAACAACTTTTAAAATTTTATCTCAAACCACATTTTCAGTCACATCTCAAACTCAAATAAAAAATTAAAATAAAACCTAAAACAAAATGTTGGCCAAACAAGCTCATAGCAACTGGCAAGTAGAAAAAATTCAAAAAGCATCATTACTCTACTCATATTTCATCATTATATGAGTGGTAGCCTGCAAACGTAAAGAAAAAAAAAATCATTTTCTAAAATATTTTCTATGAGCATGATTTCGATAACTCCGATGAAGGCGACTTGATTGTCATCATGGTGCGGGGAGGTTAGTAGTAGTTGGTTTCTTCCTAAGGAAGATTGTGTTTTTATTAATTATATAATTTTAATTAAGATTTATTTGAAATTTACAATCATGAAAACTAGTAGAAAAGATTTTGACAAAATGATAGGAATCGTTAAAATTTTGGACATTCATTTACTTTGGTTTAAAAATAAAAAAGTCAATAAGTAAAATTAACTAATTACTTGAAAACATTTATAGCACCTCACTGATATTTATAGACTATATAAATTCGTGTCAATTATTCCAAAATCTTTCTCTTATCATTTATAGGGTTTATGATAACTATCTTTCTGATTTTCTTTTTCTTTTTTAACTATCTTTCTTTTTTAATACTTCATTTTTCAAATTTTTGTGCAGTCCCAATTCTTTTAATCGTAGTCAGAGCATTTCCTCTGGTTACACTCCATTTCAGTGCAATGTCACCACTTTATCTAACATCGTTTATTTATATTTTTTCTTAATTAAAACTTTAGACACTTAAACAGGACCGACCAATTAGCCACAAAAATCAATTAGAGTGCATTAAAAAAATAATAGAAGGCCAAAAAAACAGAAGATACAACTGAAAATATGAGACAATCTCTCTCTCTCTCTCTCATGCTCTTAAGCCCACAAGCGTCAGATGGAACCGTTTAAGGGCAATTTATCCAGTATACCCGGGGGCACAGTGTACCTCCTCCTATTTTTTGCATTTCTAGTCCTTATTGTACTTTTTTATCAATCTTTCTATATTTTGTAAGTTTAGTCCCTGTCATTTTCTTCCAAAAAAAATATCTCTAATCTTTCAACGAGCATATCTCCCAATCCGTGAAGAATTTGTGAACGAATTATAAATGGAATTTATACTACCCGTCGAGATCTATCCAACAAAATCCATAGTGAATATTTTTTCGGGCTTAAAAATGACTTAATTGTGATGGGCAGAATAGAGGTGGATATCCAGTTTTACAAGATGGATAACCAACTTGTTCTAAATTGGTTATCCATTGTGTTCATGGTGATTATCCAATCAGTTTGAACTGGTTATCCAACTTCTTTGTACTAAATATCCACCCATTTCGTTTGTATGCCTATCAAACTTGTTTGTAATGGATATCCTACTTGTTTGTACTGGATATCCATCTTTTTAAACTGGATATCTAATGTGTTCATATTGATTATCCAATTTCTTTGTGGTGGTTATCCAGTATTTTTTTCCTTGCTCTTTTATGAAAATGATTGTCAAACTTTTTTGTACTGATTACCCAACGTGTTGCACTGATTATCCAAATTATTTTCTATTGATTATCCAAATTATTTGCAATGCTTATCCAATCATTTTTTCTTTCTTTCATTTTTTTTGAAGAGTGAATGTCAAAAATATGATTGGATAACAAGTACGAATGTAATGGATAATCACCCAAACCGTTGGATAATCAGTAGGAACACAACGGATAACCATTTTTCAAAAAAAAACGAAAAATACATTTCTTCATTTCTGCCCGTAAAATTTAAATGCATTTAAAGTTA